TAAAACTGCATATATACGATATACGAAATGTTATAGTACTTATTTTTTCTTTTTTTAAGTTGCAATTTTGTTAAAAAGAAAAAGAAAAATAAACTATTTAACCAGTAGATATTATTTGTCTTCCATCAATATAATAGTAAATTTTGGTTACCCTTCTTGAATATGGGCGCCACCAGCAAATGAACGATCTTTTCTGTAGATGTAGTCATCAATATCACAAGCCCACATCTGATCATTAATATCAACTTGTGACATGAAAAAATAGTCATTAGATTTAATAAAGGGACTTATAGATTTTATTTATTTATTTATTTATTTTTTGAGAACTATGAACATTGAACTATATACCGTATCAATTGCTGACAAAAGAAATTGACCTAACAAAATTATGAATCTATTTATGTCAAATCGAAGACCCAATGAATTGACCAAGTTAAGTGTCTCGTCATGATATTGTTAATTTGCAAAGAACCCTCAAAGATTTTTTCGGACAACAAATTGAAGGGAAGAAAATTTTGACACAGGTGACCAGGAAGCTTCGAGCATGTTTGTTTATGAAAATTTTTTATTTTGTTTGGATATTTTAGTTTGGTTTGATTAATTTTAAAAAAAGTGGTATGGTTAGTTGTTAGTAGATATATTAAAATAATATTTAAAATAAAATAATTAAAATTGATTTGATATAAAAGTAGGAGAGAGATGATTGAAGTGATGCTTAGTTAAAATAATGAGAGTGGATGAATGGTGAATTAAATTTGATATGGTGTGTATGAATGATTGATTGATATTATTTAATTATATTAATAATATTGATAATAGTGGGGTTGAGTTAAAGTTGAGTTAAAAAAAGTGGTTGACTTAAACTGTTTTTTTTTTAAAAATTTCTATAAACAAACATGAGTCTCTCAAGTTTGTAATGAAGCCATCGGATGACACGATTTATGGAGTCATCCCCACTTATTCACAAATAGTGTATTGACACATGTCCTACAATAAATTTACTTTGGACAGGTGTGTAACAACAAATTTCGTGTATTGAATTTAAAAACACGAAAAATATTATTCAAATAAATTTCTTGAATCAAAATAAATATAACGGGTTACAATCTCTATTATTCTTCTGATTCTTCTCTTCATGGATTTGGATTTGGATCTTTGAAGATGGATTTGACGGTTGGATCTTCTTCAGACTTGAGCTTAAATTTGTTTAACGTTAATTGGGTAGACGTGTCCATTTGCCGGGCCGGGTCGGCGGTTCAACACATGGTGAACCGGGCCCGGCCCGCCTGTAACTAAGGGCCGGTTCACTGAACCGGCCCTTAACCGCCGGGTCGCAAACCCGGCGGGTCGACTCGGTTCCGGGTCGGACCCGGCGGGTTTGCGGGTTTTTAATTTTTTTTTTTCTTTTTTTGTTATTTTAATGTATATTAATGTTTATTTGAATAAATAGTTTGTATATATTTCGAAAATATAAGTTTTTGAGTCTGTTAAATTGTACGTCAAACGGTTAACGGTGTTGTATTTTATTGATTATGGCGGAGAAGTACAACTTAAGTGTAAAGAAAAAAATTATTAATGAAATGGACTTGAGCTTAGTTAACAGTTATTAAGTTCGAATATCGTGTACGATGGAAAATTTTGTTGCCAAAAAATTATACTCGAACTTAATAATGTTAAATAAGGTGCCTACGTATCCCTTTATTTGGGAATCAAAGTCCACGTAGTTCTTCTTAAACACATACCTTGGCTGCATACCTTTAATATTCGTATTCGTCTTCGACGTCCCCCCCGGTTCCACTTGTCGACGACGTAAAATCGGATGCATCGTCGTTGTCGTCCTCCTCCTCATTAGAAGTGAGCATAGCAGTTTGCATCCTTCGTTCGGCCTTCTTCCAATCACTCAGTAACATTTGTGCTTGAAGATTATCAGGCGTCATCCTCGACCGTCGTGGATCTAGCATGTAGCCGCCCTCACTGAATGTTTGCTCTGTTGGGATCTGTGAGGATCTCGTTATGTACAAATCACGAATTCAATAGCAAACGTAAACCTATGCGCAGCGGATCTAAAGGTTTGNCAATCACTCAGTAACATTTGTGCTTGAAGATTATCAGGCGTCATCCTCGACCGTCGTGGATCTAGCATGTAGCCGCCCTCACTGAATGTTTGCTCAACCGCGACTGTAGATGCTGGGACAGCAAAGATCTCCTTGGCCATAATGCATGAAATAGGAAAAATTCCTCCCATTCTTGACCACCAATCTAACACATCGAAATTGAGTGGCGGTTGAGGTGGACGTGCAATCGTAACGGCTAAATTCGACGTAAGGTAGTGATCCAGCTCATAGTATCCAGTCCCCTGCACCCTTTGACCGCCCGAGTTTTTGTAGGGATTTAATGAATCCCAAAACACTTTGAAGTTTCCGAAGTTTGTATTGCCGCTTTGCTCTCCGTACGAAGATGAAGACCCGCTGCCGCTTGCGCCGCTGCTACGAACAAATGTGCTGGGAGACTCTCCATGTGCGATCGCTGTTTCCTTGAACATGTCATACAAAGAATTTTTTGCTTGCTCGACGAGCTGCGGTATGTTAGGTTTGTCCCTGTAAGTCGGGACCCCACTCGGCAGTGGCAATTGATACATATAATCATAGTACATATTAAGTTGATTTAACAAACCTTGCTCACGAACTGTAGGATCTAACAGACATGCAATTAAAAATGTATCGGGAATATAGTAATAGTATTTTAGCCATTTTTCTAACATATTTTCTACTAGACCAGAATATTTAAAAGGATCTAAGTCATAAATATCTTTAAAACCCCACATTANACATGCAATTAAAAATGTATCGGGAATATAGTAATAATATTTTAGCCATTTTTCTAACATATTTTCTACTAGACCAGAATATTTAAAATGATCTAAGTCATAAATATCTTTAAAACCCCACATTATAGCTATACATTGACTGACCACAAGTTGAGCAGTAGGATAGTAAACACCAGAAAGAATATTAGTAGCGTTTTGAAATGTTTCTAAAAAATTTGTAAGTTGCGAACAGTTTGCCCAATCATTCACCGAAAGTCGAACATCACAATCCCTACGGTTTGTATCATTAAAAAAATCCTGTAAATGCTTGGCATAATCAGCGGTGACATTCAACATTTTAAATGTTGAATTCCACCGGGTAGGCACGTCTGGCTGGAATTTTTTAGGTTTAATTCCAACACTCTTACAAAATCGTCCCCATGCTTTCATTTCTTGGGAACGTTTATGCAAATAATTGACGGCCTCCCTTATTGGCTTTACAGAATCCTTAAAAACATGATAACCAGCTTGAACACACAAATTTAAAACATGACATATACAACGAATATGAAAAAATCTACCCCCACAGATTGGTGTACAAACATCATTTAATTCACGTATAGATGCAGTATTTGCAGTCGCATTATCAAATGAAATTGAAAATACTTTTTTACCAATACTATAATTATCTAAGATTTTTGAAATTAAACGAGCAATATTAGAAGCAGTGTGTCGTTCATGAAATGCAACATAACCGATTAAACGTTTTTGTAAAGTCCAACTATCGTCAACCCAATGACAAGTAATTCCTAAATAAAAATTATTTATCCAATGATCGGACCATATATCAGCCCAAATGGATACTCTATGATTTAAAGATTTAAAATTTTCTTTTAAAATTAGTTTCTTCTCACTCACGATTTTTCGAATATCGCGAGTAA